TAGAGAAGGAGTGTTGTACCCTCTACTTTCTGTCTTTCTCATGCTTGTTATATAGCAGCCACTCAGTAGGCAGACGCTATTGGTTGGTCTGCAGACAGCAGGGGACCCGTGGCCAGCATGGGCGGGAGAGGCCCTCCCGGCCAACTTTGAGGAAGGCGGGGGAACGCCTGGCGCGGTGCAGCCCCCTCGCAGGGTGGACGTGAGGTGCTGGGCCATCTTCTCTGACGGTTCCCGCTGTCCACACCCAGCACCGTCTCTCGTGGGCAGCGTGGCGCTTACAGTTGAAGTTGTACTGATGGAGCAGAGCGCTTCGGAAGTGACTCCTGAAATTTCAGTGTGGTATTTAAATTTGATTCTCCTAATGATAAGCACAGGGAAAGAACAGATCTAATTCCAAGTCATAGCAGGCATTTCACATTTGGTTGAACATGTAACGTTAGTAAAGCAACATGCCCGTTTCTCATGGCGGCTAGTGGGAGTTCAAAACGGTCTCACGCTTCAGAGCGTTAGAGTCGGGTCTGACGGGGCGATGCTGGGGTTCTGTTGGCTCGGGCTGTCCGGCATCAGCTGAGAGGTTGACCTTGCTGACGCTACAGGTCCCTTCCAAACCTTCAAATTCAGTTTGTCCTACGGAGAACATAAGACTTAAAAATAGGCCTGACCCAGTCAGGCCGCTTCTGGGGCAGCAGTGTCAGGGGCTCCGCAGGCCCACCCTGCAGTGAAACCACCGTACCTGGCGAACATCACCTTTAACAAAGCAACCGGCTAAGGCCTGGAAATGGGCTAAGGGCGTACAGCATGCGGAGAAACGCTGATTCAGGAAAATCTGCTCAATCTCCGAGAACAGGGAGAGCCTGTGGCTCCTGAGGCACCACCACCTTCTCCCCGTTCCCCTGCCCCCCCCCCCCCGCCCCCCAGCCGGGCCAGCTCGGCGTGACGGAGCTCCTTCTGGGAGACCCAGACAAGAACACGCTCTCAGCCGTGGGCTGCAGTGTCTTCCTGGGAAGACAGGCCACAGTATTTCTCATTTTCTCCCAAACGTATGTTGAAGAAGCTTGGCTCTTGGTCAAAACAAAACAACAAACAGCTGAGAGGTCTGGAACCAGGACCCCCTCCTCGGGTGCAAGCTCTGGCCACAACAGGCCAGGAGCACAGAGCCCCCAGCTCGTCTGTGATGCGGAGCGTTTATGCCAGGAAAGGAAGGCCGAGCAAGTAGAAGCTGGTGCAGGCGGCAGCCAGCACCCTGCTTAGGCAGTGGCGCCCTGCCCAGGGCAGCTGGCACCGCCACTCTGAGAAAGCCCCAGGGCGGCGTGTCAGTGTAAGGGCCCCAAGCCCGCCGAGGACTTTCGTAAGGGTCTTTTTGAGCCAAACAGATGCTCCGGAAGAGGACAATTTTGAAGTTGTCTTTTATACATTTGGAGCTGCAGGAACTAAGGAAGGTTCCATGAAGGTGGGAGAGAACAAGGTACAGGCAGCGAGGGTTCTGTGCTCCCAGAGGGTGGTTGCACCTTTGGGGGGTCTGGAGAAGAGGTTTGCCCCGGCGCTTCAGAGGCGTGCTAACCTAGACGCACAAGCACAACAGGCGGGGCCGGCTTCAAAACCTTCTGCTGAAGACGTTCGAGGCCCAGGGTGTTGCTGCCCACCACGACCTACCTGGCCAGTTAGCGATTTCCAATCACGTCACCAGGCGAGGTGACTTGGTTACATTTGTTACAGAGCCCCGTTCTCTTCCCCAGGTGGCACAGAGGCCAGCTGTAGGAATGAGAGCTCCAAGGGGCTGGGCTTTATTTGGGACAGCGTGTGAGGAAATTCAGACCTAAGGGTGCTCCCACAAATAATGGGCATTTGGGTGCTAAGTAATGAAGAGGAGGTGGGTAGATTCCGTGGAGCAACAAGCTGAATCATAAACCAGCTAGAAGTTTGCTGGAGAGAAGCAGGCAACAGAAAGTGCCTCTGAGAGGGACCAGATGTCAGGCTTAGCAGACAGAAACCAAATCAAACTACTACAAATATATTTACAGAACTAAAAATAAAAATGCTTAAGGAATTAAGGAAGGCATGATGACACTGTCTAATCAAATGGAGAATATCCATAAGGAAATAAAAAATCTTTAAAAATAACGAAATGGTTCTACAGAATACCAGCTCTTCTTCCAAAAACAAAAAGCAGAGGGGACACACACAAACTGATTTTACGAGGCCAGCATTTTCCCCTGATACTGAAACCAGACAAGGATACAACAAGAAAAAAAAATTACAGGCCACTATCCCGGATTAAAGTAGAAACAGAAGTCCTTAACAAAATACCAGGAAACCAAGTCCACAATACATTAAAAGGACCACACAGCGTGACCTAGTGGAATTTATTCCAGGGATGCAAGGATGGTTCAATATCTGCAGATCAGTCAATGTGATAGACCACATTAACGAAGGATAAAAATCATATAATTATCTCCATTGATTCAGAAAAACCAGATGACAGAATTCCATACCCCTTTATGATAAGACTCCTCATCCAAGTGGGCACACAACGAAAGCACCCGGAGAACAAAGGCCGCAAGCGCCCAGCGGGCATCCGGCTCAGCTAGGGAAAGCTGAGAGCTTTTCCTGGAATGTCAGGGACACTACCATGCTATAAAGCTGTTAAAAATAATAATAAAATAAGTAAACCATGTGGGAATGTTTAAACAGATTGCAAAGATATTACCTAACTTTTTAATAGTACTCTGCTATTCAAATGTGAAAAATGAGTGATTTTCCAGGTTTTTGTGGGGATTTTTGTTAAAAGATTTTACTTATTTATTTATTTTTGGAGCAAGAGGAAGGGAGGGAGGACGAAAGGGAGAGAAACATCCATGTGTGGTTGCTTCGTGCACGTCCCCTCCTGGGGGCCTGGCCTGCAACCCAGGCCTGTGCCTTGACTGGGAATCGAACTGGCGACCCTTTGATTTGCAGGCTGGCGCTCCGTGCACGGAGCCCACCAGCTGCGGTGGGTTTCACGTTTTTCACCTTGAAGTTTCCTTTCCTACAACAGTCAGGCCTTCTTCGCACTCATCTGCGAGCACTCCCGCTTGGCCCCTGTCGCCCCCTTCTTTTCATCCTTTGCCCCCAGGAACTCTCGAGTCGGTGGCCGTCACCACCGCAGACAATGTGTTGGGTGTTTCCAAGGTCAGAGCCCTGTCGACTGTGAAACGAAGCCACGGCTTCCGTAAGGAAGGGCTCCGGGTTCTCAGATGGGATGACAGGCGTTCAGGTAAGGGTGGCGGAATTGAAGCCGAGCAGCGGGCAGCCTTCAAGCCCCGCTCTAAGGGAAGTGGGCTGTCACCGAGGAGGGGCACAGTGTCACTATCACCTGCGCTTCAGAGCGCCACACTGTAACCTTAGATGGTCAGAGTTCCTGAAATACAGGACTTCCTAAAAATTACATAAAAACACCATGTGCAAGTTTAAGATCAAGGCCTTTTGGGATCTGGACTTTTATTGTGGAGTTCTTCATTATTAATTGCATAAAACTTAAACACATTACCGAATATACAGAGTTTGGGGTTCTGGTTACTAAGCAGCACATTTGCCCTTCCGTTCCGAGACAGCAAAGTTTCGAACACCAGACCCCTTTGCTGGAGCCTTTGTCAAGGCCCCTCACATGTGGATCTCCAGGCAGCTCGGCTGCATCTGGATTACAGGAAATTTACATAATTAAAAAGAAAAGAGAAGAAAAAAATAGAGGGAAGAAATCAAACGTATCCAATTGAGAAAAAGAATAAATAGGGCATGAAATGAAAGGAAAGGAGAGTAAAGAGATCGCTTTAGGGAAGACACAGCAAGGTCGAAAGGACAGGCCAGGATGCGCCTGGCACGTGGAACCTCGGAGAGTCAGGTTCCAGGGCGGCCTCACTGCGGTAAATGTGTAATCGGACTCGGGCAAATCCCACCCTTTCCCTTCTTCCCGCGTTTCCGCCGGCACAGTAAGTGAGACGTCTTCCTTTGGGTCAAACGACAAAGAATGAGTTCTGAGCATAGAACAGTGAGATTTGTTTCTCCTTTATAGTTTATAAAACCAGGTTCCTCATTCTATAATAGGGTTGTTTTATGAAAACTCCCTAGAAAAAAACAGTAGTTAAAAAAAAAAGGAAACTTGACAGTCACGAACAAGGTCTGTCCTCACGACGGCTTCCTGAGCCCAGTCACTGAAATTCATCAGTTGCCCTCAGGGCCCCGCAACTGCTGCGTCCCAACTCAGCAGCCGCACCGAGTCACAGCAAGAGCTCACTCCTACCAGGCAGGCTTCTGAGCGCCACGGCCTAGCCCCGGATTCTGGGCCCAACCGCGTGAGCCCAGAGACTCGGCTGTGGCCCTTGCCCGAAGGAGAGCCGCCGGGCTGCTCGGGGGCTGCTCTGTGACGTGTTAGGGCGTCTGGAATCATCGCAGGTCTAAACTGAACAGCGAGACAGCGCTGCTCTGGGGAAATCTGAACCTGAGACTGTTGAACAGAAATGCAGTTTAATTACTGCTTTCATGTGTACCCACTGACTCCAGTGACTTGCTGGTGCTTGACTTTAATAAATGGACTGTTTGTAATGAACCAGCTTTTAAATTTTTTTTTTTTTAGTGATTTTAGAGAGAGGAAAGAGGGGAGAGGGGGAGAGAGAGAAAAACATCGATTTGTTGTTCCACGCATTGATGCATTCATTGGTTGATTCTTGTAGCTGCCTTGACCAGAAATCAAACCTGCGACCTTGGCGTATCAGGGCGGTGCTCTCACCAACTGAGCCACCTGGCCAGGGCTGAATCTGCTTTTGAAGCAGACAAATATTCTTCAGTGCTTTAAAAAGTTGCTTTGGTTTGTATTTTAGGTAAAAAGTTAAGAACAAGTCGTCATCCTTTTTTTACTTTACAATAGTTTTACTTTAATACTTTTCAGACTTCTTGCAGTTTTAGTGCAAGAGGGATAACAGTTTGCACAAAGTTGCAAAATGACAATGTGGTTCTTGTCTAATTTTCACAAATGAAAAGATGCAGGTTGTTTAATTTGTGGGCAAAGACTACATACAGGTGGGAAGAATAAATCCTCTTTTGCAACCCAGAGAACTCATCGTTCAGTATGAGTTTTGATACATGTAAGAATGAACGTAGTTTTAAAAAAAATGCATGTGCCCTGACCTGTATGGTTCGGTTGGTTGGATGTTGTTCTGTGAAGTGAAAAGTCACAGGTTTGATTCCTGGTCAGGGCACCTGCCTAGGTTGCAGGTTTGGTCCTGGCTCAGGGCCCAAACAGCCCAAACGAGAGGCCACCGATTGATGTTTCTCTCCCTCTCTCCCCTCTTCTACTCTCTCTAAAACTAAGTAAAATAAAAATAAAATCTTTTTAAAAATGCATGTTCTTCCCAGCGAACCATTCACAACTTGAATCAGCCTGGTCTTCCCGTCTCATCCATGGAGGAACTTTTGTTGGCGAACACGCGCGACAGGCAGCGGTTTCTCTGCAACCATCATGCTTGTGAAACACGTCTAAAACGAGCCCAGAAATGTACCTTCTCAAATAATACAATCCCCAACCTTCATTGTAATACCCTGGAATTTCAGAGCAGGTTGAAGTTCAAAACTGTGTGTGTGTGTTTTGTTCTAACAAAAATTCAGTTAGATGAGAACATGTAATTTAATGGTGGGGAGGGTGCGGGGGTGTTGAAGATCCTCCACGTTTTGTTCCCCAGCAGCTGCTCAGATAGCTCCCCCGGGATCCTGCCTTGTTTCTGGACCTGCCGGGCCGCAGGAGCCCGTGAGGGCCAGGGCGATGCTGTGCATCTCTGAGTTCTCAGACCCGGCCGCGGCGGGTGGGACCGTGTCCGTGAGAGCGCCGTCCTCTCCGGCGCCCTGGGGCTGGAGTAAGTTCTCTCGCGGCTGCCAGGGAGCCTCTGCCGTAACCCCGGGGAGCTGCCCCGCCTTCCGGGCCCCGCTCGGACCCACACCTGCGCGGGGCACTCCGCCCTCGGGCCGCGCGCCCCTGAAAAACAAGCCCCAGCGCTCCTCGTGGCAGAGGCGGCCTGCTCTCGGTGACAGACAGAAGTCGGGGGGAAGGCAGGCGCCCCCTGGGGTCCAAAGCGGAAGGGTGGGGTGCCCGGGGAGCGCAGGTAAACACCGCTAAACGCCGCAGCGCAGCCGGGGACACGCGCACTCAACAGAAGGCCGCGCCCTCGGCCCGGCCTTCCCCTAATGGATTCCCAGCTCGATCGATCGGGGGCCGAGATGCGGGCCAGCAATTAGCCCTAATCAGGCGGCAGGAGTTTCCTACCGCGACTGCCAGCCCGCCTAATTGCTGGCAGCTGTGGGGCTGCGCCGCGGCCGGCGGCTGTTAACCCGCGGGGCCCCGGCCGCTCCACAAAGGCCTGACCCAGCGGGGCTCCCCCTGGCGTGGCGGGCGCTGGGACGGGAGGATGGCTCGCCTTTGTGTTGGACAATCGGCCTGGCGGCCGGTTACTTTACCTCCAAGGACTTCAGGTGGAGAGCGAGCTGCAGGACCCCGCTGTTGGAGCAGGGAACACCTTGGGAGGAGAAGCTGGAACTTAAGTTCTGTGATGGAAATCCTCAAAACGCACAAGAGTAGGGGAATAGCCTCAGCTAGTCTTTACATTCTGCTGTTGATTTTGATCCGTCCCTGCCTCAATTTTCTTTTCTTTTTTTCACTGGAGTGTTTTAAAGCAACTCTCAGACAAAATGTGGCACTTATCAGTGCTTTAGTATATAAGTCTAATATAGTTGAAGATACTTAAAAAGTATAACCGGAATCATGACTACACCCAACAAAAGTAATAAATTCCTGAACATCACCCACTGTCTGGGGCATGTGCACGTGTCCCCAGAGCCTCAGATGTGCCTGTGGGTGGGTGTGAATCAGGACCTCGTTGTGACTCAATGACTGAGTGATCATTTGTTTTTAAAATATCACCGTGTAAGGTTGACAGATTTCACCTCGCGGGGCTCGGCCTCGGTGTCTTCCTCCAGCTCCCATATTTTCTGCCAGCCTGGGAGCTTCGTGGGAAGTAGGCTTGGCTCTTTTCAAGAAAACTGTACTCAGGGTGCTGTGATCTTTCTCCCACGTCACTCCCAGGAGCCCCCGCCGGCTCAGAGCCCAGTTGTAGTGACGTTAAAATGGACTCCCGTGTTCCAAGGGCGTCAGCCTGAGCGGCCGCGTTTGCCAATAGTGTTGCACCTGGGGGTGTTCGCAGATGGCGGCCCCGGGCCAGAGGGATGATTTTATCCGGTTACATGAGCGGTGTCCTCACTTTTGTTGCCTTGGCAAGTATTAGCCGTGGTTCTTCTTCAGAGAAGAATTTCCCCTCCAGTTTGGACGGTGAGATAGGTGTTCGATCCCTTCCTTCATTTATGTCAGGTTAATGAGTCGGTTCCCTAAACCGCCTCAGATGCAGCAAGTATCGTATGAACTCACGGGTGTTTGTTGATAGGTTTGATGTGTTTCAGTCCAGTGCAGTTCTAACTTCTTTAATGCGGAAATGATCTCTGTTGGCCTTCGACAGTTCCTGCCCCCGCCTGGAGCCCTGGCTCCCTTAGTAGGACGGGGCATTGTGGGTAATCCTTGCTGACAGGTCATCATTACTCGTGGTCCAGTGCATGGTGTCAGGAGACGGAATGAGCCTGTACCACATGCACTTGGTATCATTATCCTACAGAGGTGTGTACATCTGCCCTCATCTTAAACTTCCTCCTCCTTGTCCCCAAGGGACAGGTGTCCAAGACACGCTTTGGGCACCCCCACTTCCAGACCACGCTTTCAGTTACGCCCTCACCCCCAGCAGCTCAGCGTCACCGTCCCTGCCGGTGACCCAGAGAGTCTCTCCCCAACTAGCCCGAGAGCTTTGAGAGAGCAAGACCGTTGACTTCTCAGTTTGAGTCTTTCATGGTGCCGAGCACAGAATAGGTTTTCCATAAACTTTTGCACTGAATTGTCACCGGTCCCAGTCGGTACCACATACTCGGTGGTGACAGTCCTTTCTCTGCTCCGTGTCAGTCTCTCATCCGGGGACTTTTTATTTTCAACACCAAAGCAGCATCATCCGCCCACTGATTTGCAGAGATGGAGTAAAATAAAAGTCTGTAATTGATTCTGTTCCAAAGAAGCCACGCACTAAGGAGGAAAAGTCGTGCCTGGAGGAGCTGCCAGCCTCATTACGGCGGCGCGGCGGCGAGCCACGAGGGAGGGCAGTCGAAGGCTTTGCTAGACGGAGGAGTGATCGACGGGCCCCTCCCGCCGCACGCGGCCACAGCACTCCCAGGAGCCACGCGGGGAAGTCTTGTCTCAGCTCCTCAGTAGTTCGGAAGGAATGTGCCATTGATTGCTCACCTTTTCTGACTCCACGTTTGAAGAAGACTATTTCGTAGAGCCAAATAAGAGAGCCACGCAATAAGATGGACATGGTACCAGGGTAAGCGTTGCCGCACCCAGGCCATGACTAACCGGGGCGTCCCGTGTGGCGCTCAACATGGGGGAGACCTCGGGAGGAGCGGCAGAAAGAGGGCCCGGTCCCCCGCCCCAGGGAGTTCCAGAGCGAACCCCCGTTGGTGTTTCCTTGTTGAGTTTTTAACCACATGTCTTTGTACTGTTGGTTTATCTTTTTTATCCTTAAGCAGTAGATGGAGTCTTTGTGAAGGTATTAGGGATGTTGGATTCCAAGGCTCGGAGAACCCATCCCAATTAGCCTGTGAAATAAGGGGCTTCATGGACTCCGGGAGCTGGGAGCCCAGCGTCGCTCCCAGTGCAGACCCAAACGCGTCTGGGGGCCCAGTTCGGCCCAAGCTTCCCCCCACTCACCTTTCACCTCTGCTCACCCCCGTTTGCCAGCATCCGTCCTGCTGGAATTCGGTTTCCTTTCTGTAGCCAGCAGCATGGGCGGCCACAGGAAATGTCCCATTCACACTCCCAAGCTTTCTGCACCCAAAGGTAAAGCCCCTTCGCGGCCAGCTCCAAAGCCGAAACACCAGCAACTAGCTGCCTTGGTTCCTGTGTCCCAGAAGCGGTGGGACCAGAGAAGCGGGGTCCTGGACAGCCCCGAACCAGCAATGCCCAGGATAGATATGAACCCTTCTAGCAGAAACTCATTGAGTTTTTTTATCAAAGTGAAGGAGCTTTGTCTGTTCCTAGGTTATGGTTTCTCAGGACTGGTTGTTGCCTCTGTTAAAATACTGTTTTTCTGCCTTTCTCTGTTACTATAGTGAATTACAGTTGGTAGTAGGTTCCACAGTTTCATGCCTCCTTGCATGCCAATCTTTTAACAGACTGTTGGGTTTGATTTGCTAATATTTTTTTTAGTGTTTTGCATCTATGTTTACGTATAGTTTTTCTCCTATGTCTTTGCCCAATTTTGTGGTGAAGGCTATACCGGCCTCATGTAATGACGCGAAAGTCCTTCTGGCTTTCTTCTATTATCTAGAATAGTTGCATAACAAAAAAAAATTATACTGTCTATAACTTTTTGGAAGATTTGATGGAATTTTCTCATCACAACATGAAACTGGCTTAGAGTATTTTGGGGAGATAAACCTGTGATTACATTTTCAATTTCTTCCTTTTTTAAAATTTAATCTGTATCATATTTTTCCCATTACCCTTTAGTCCCCTTACACTCCCCCCGCCCCCAGCAATCACCACACTGTTGTTTACGGCCATGAGTCCTTTTTTGTTTTTGCTCAACAATTTTTTTCTATACTTACTGGTTTATTCATGTTTTTCTAAAAAAATTCTAAACAGTCATGTTTATATTTTTAAATTTATTGATACAGAGTTACAACAGATTTTAAAATTTACTTGACCTTTTAATTCTTTTAAAGATTTAATGTCTCTCTTTGTTATCGCCTGGTCAAATTATAGTATTTCTAACCATTTTTGCTTTGTGACTTTAAAGCTATGTTGCTCAGTGCATAAAGAATCATTATCATTGCTGGGTGGTCGGCGGCGCGGGCTGTGGAAGAATTCACACAGAGAAGGGAGTGCAGAGTACAGGTTTTATTTTTACTTCCCCGAGGCAGGCACAGGGCTGGGGCCGGAGGCGGGCACCAGCCGCAGCAGCCCCGGGCCCATCCCGGCCCAGAGGGGTCGCAGCTGGGAGCTTTCGTCGGCAAC